ACTTTTTGTAATAAAATGAAATTTTGGGCATCACATTATTTTAATTATTATCTAGTATGCCACAATTTTTTTTAATCCAAAATAGTTTATACACACTAATTTTTTTCTAACTTTTGAAGAGCAGTTTATTTATCATTTGAGCTTTAGTTTTTAAAAATTTAATTAAATTATCGACCTTTTTTTGTCTTCACATAAACCACTTTTTGGAACAAAATGCAATTTTGGGCTCCACATTATTTGAATTATTACCTAGTATACCACAATTTTTTTTTTAATCCAAAATAGTTCTTACACACTAATTTTTCCCTACAGAGCAGTTTATTTATCATTTAAGATTTGTTTTTAAAAAAATAATTAAATTATCGACGTTTTTTTTGTCTTCACATAATCCTTTTTATCTTCGTTATTTATCACCAGGTTTAAGAAAATTAAGTTTTTTGGAATTGTTATTTTAATATCTACAATTTTTGTGTTGAGCATTTTTTTTTAAATAAATATTTTTTATTTGAGATTTTGATCATAAATTATTGATCTTCTTTTGTTTTTACTTAAACCTTTTTATCTCCGTTTTTATGGTCGTATTTAAAAAGAGTTTTTTGAAGGTTTCCTGTAGGAGTTCATGGTTAAATTAGGAATAAGATTGTATAAATTAGTTATCTAGATTTCGGGGATTTGTGTCATCAGACAAATACACAATAATTGTTAAATCAGTTAGTCTTGACAAATCAATAAATATAACTTATTGTACTATTTTAAAATAGTATAAATTGTACATAGATATAGTCACGGCCAAATCTGTATGGGTGCACGTCATCAACGGCATATGACGTCAGCGTTAAGGTCTATTCATACGTGCCCAGACACAATCTAACGCTCGTGTATTGTTGACTGTTTATAGCGGTGGGGGCTGTTATTAAGATGAAATTATACCGTCCTTGTTATAATCTTCTGCACTAACTAATTAGGAGTTTGTTACAGGCAAATTTTTATTAAATGTGTTTAAAGAGAAAACAAACGGAGTTTATTACATTTTTATTACATATGCACATAACAAAATTTATTATTAAGGGCGCAATCTCTTCGAAATCTAATAACGGCTAGTTGCCAACAAGCCTTATATCATTGTTTGCACAATCCAGGGATAGAATCTTATAAACATAATGTATAATATTATTTATAATAATTTGCAACAAACGATGCTTCCGGACGAAATGTCACAATTACAAAAATACGTCAAATATAAAATGACAGCGACCCATCAATAATATTGAACGGTGCGCGCCAGCCTTAAGCTATTACCAACTGGCACACACAAAAATTACTAAGTGAATGGATTTATTTTGATAATTTCGTGAAAAAACGTTTTAAAACAAGGAAATTGTTACAGTTCTTGATAAACAATACGCAAATGAATGATTTCTTTTTAATAACACATCAGAATTACGCCTTAAAAAAGAAAATTTAACGGCAGTAACTTTACAATTCAAAGTTGGTAATGCTGACGTCATTATATCTCATTGATGACGTGCACCCATATAGATTTGGCCGTGACTATAGTCTAATATTTTAATACAATTTCAAGAAAATTATTTCTTTTACATTTTTATCAATAAAGGAAAGATAACAAAAACAAGACAAACATAGCCAAAGTCATTTTTTGTAAAACGAATTGGAATGGCAATTGAAATTGCAACCTTAATTACACTAAAAGAATTTAGGCAACTAATAATAAGATATATTGGTAAGTTTGGGAGAAATAAAGACCAACAATTTCATCCTATTGAAATTCCCAGTTAAATTATGAGTCATTCTATCATTTTTCACGAAATTTGACAAACATTGAAAGCTGAACTTATTGGATTTTCTTAAAACTTTCAGGATGTGAAGGCCAATGCTTAGGTTGAACAAAAACCACAATAATTTTTGTTTATTTAAACACCCTGAGGAATAAGGCAGGGCCATGTTGACCGGTTTGCATAAAAAATTAGCAAATCGGTGTCTAAGAAAAACCTTTATAACTAAGTTGTTTATTAATATTTTGTATCGCGTAATATTTTGTTTTAACCATAAAACAATGTAATTTTTAAATATAAGCCTAAAATTATACAAATATTTTTACAAATGCAGCTTTTTAGTGCTAAATTTACGCTTCTTTTAACTGAAAATGTCAATTTTCTGCCATGAAAATTTGATTTGGTGTATATTTTTATTTAAAGTAATTATAAATATTGATTAAAAGTATCCAAATTGCAGAAAATACCATCATAATTATGAAAATTTCACATTTTTTGAGAAAAAAATTCAATTTTTCGTCCGGAGGGACTGAACGAAAATTCTTTAAAATTTAACAGAACGTTCTCCTCAATATAAATTAAAAACTTTAACAAAAAAATGTTGTGTATTGGCCTTGCTAGGAAGATACAACGGTTTAAAATACCATAAATTGTATAGAATATGGAATTATTTTCATGGTCTTTTTTATCAAGATGGCTTTGATAAAAAAGTGATATTTAAAGGTTTGAAAAAGAAATATAAAATAGTAAAAATGAAATAATTATTTTATAATTATAATAAACAAAATAACGCATATAGTTGTCGCAGCGAATGTTTCCAATTGCGTCATCAAATTCTAAACCAAGCACAGACCTTACAATTATTGTTGTTTTCTTTTACGTATATAATCCAAAGAACCGCTAGGTTAACCGTATGTCGAGAAATCGGTTTTTGACATTCGACATTGATGACGCAATTGGAAACATTCGCCGCGACGACTTCACGTAATAGTTAATATAAAATAAAATAAACAATATTTGTATTGTTATCTTAAGGTACAGAATGATTACATATGATGGATCGCCTATGCTATTTTTATTACTGTTAAATGATTGCAACCAATCAGATTCACTTATTTAATTTAACACAAGAACAATTTTGGTACTATGCCTAAGTGAATAATTATGTGTATTTTAGCAATAATTTTAACAGAGAACTTGTTTTTTTATCGTGAACATTGATTTATATATTCACGTGTTACTTCATTTATAATACAAAACTATGTTAAATGTAACATTTATATTGTGTTTCTACATGAAATCTTATATTTATCTATTAATCTATTAAGGTAGTTAATTTAAATTTAATAACATTCCCTATAAATCCTAACCCTAATAAAATTTAACATAATTAATTATTGGTTTTTTAAAGATCCAAATTTTGTTCTTTTTAATATTTTTTATTTATAAAACTTCGAACCTGAATAATTTGTAAATTTTTAGGTACAAATGAATGAAAACTTTTAGTATTTTTTATTACAAGAATTAATGTTTGTTGTTCTATTATTTTAGTTTTATTATAAAAAAATATATTCCTTTTATATTTTCATTGCAAAACATACCTAAAGGTAATAAAATATGATGGTCTTTGCAGGCTTGCTTTTAAAACCAATCTCTTAACGGTTCCCCCTATTCCATCACAAGGTCCTTTTCCGTGCGATGTGGCAAAAAAATGCCACTCTGCCTCCAAACCAGTCATTTTTGTGATATGCCAAATTAATAAAATTATATTTATTTTTATATTGTCCCAACATCCATAAGTAAAATATATTATTTTTTTATTTGCGAAAAATTTAATTTTATGAAATTAAGTTCTTTTAGAAAAGTGTAAACAACTTGTTTGACATTATTCCAGACTATTTACCCAGTGAAAATTTTGTATTTCGTATTGTACAACGGAGGAGAAATTTTCAGAATGCGAGGCTAATAATTTTTTTAAGATGTATATTTTGCCTGATTTTTTGAAATATACTGATGCTTTTTTAAAGAATCTATTGCTGATAATATTTTGTCAATGAAATCAGAAACTGGTAAATTTAAGGTAAGTAAATTACTAAATATTTATATACATATTTTTTTAAATGATAGGGACACCCTGTTTGAAAATTATCATTTACTCTTAGTTTTAAAAGAGTTTGAACTAGGTTCTTCGATATTTTGTAATAAAATATCACATTTCATCAGTTTTCGACACTTCTCATTCAGGAATTGTCCAACGGAGCACATTTTAAAATATGTAAACATGTAAAAATGTCAACATGTAAATATTTTTTAAATGTAAAAAATATACCTAGTTTGACTTTTCTATCAAAGCCTTCTTAAACAAAAATCATATATAAATTTAGTGCCATTTTCTATAAAATTTGTCCAATTTTAAACCGTTGTATCTCTTTAGGAAGGCAAATAAACAATTTTTTTTACAATTTTTATTATATATTAAGGAGAACATTCTGTTAAATTTTGAATAATTTTCGTTCAGTCCCTCAGGACGAAAAAATTAATTTTTTTCGCCAAAAATGGAATTTTTTTTTGTAATAAAAATGGTATTTCCTGAAATTTTTTATAATTTTGCATTTTATATTTTAATCGATATTTATAAGTACTTTAATTAAAAATATACACCAAATCAAATTTCCATAGCCTACTACATTATATCAATGGTAGAAAAATCACTTTTCAGTTAAAATAAACGTGAATTTAGTACTAAAAAAACTGCACTTGTAAAAATATTTGTATAATTTTAGGTATATACATTAAAATTACATTGTTTTATGGTAAAAACAAAATATTAAGCGATAATAAATATTAATAAATAAAAAAGTTACAAAAGGATTTCTTGTCGCCTAATTTCTCAGGGTGTTAAAAAAATATATTATTGTGATTTTAGTTCATTTCAAGCATTGATCTTCCTAAAACTTTCAGTTTAATCTGAGATGTCGAGCTTTTGTCATTAGGTGAAATTTCATGGAATGACTCTTATATAAAAAAGTGTTAGTTTCGATGAGATCTACAACCTTTATTACGTTGTCTATTTTGAGTAGAAACACCCTTTATAGTACTTACTGTAGTGGTTTGTGGAGCTAGAGTATGCTTACTCATGACAATTGTGGTGGTCTTAAGTTCGGAATTAGGTCCACCTGGTGATTTAGGGGGGGCAGTGGTTTCTACTGGACTTAGGGCTAAAGTTTCCACGGCTCTTACTACATCCAAAACCTTATCGGCGGGTGTAGTGGCTTTAACTTCCACTAAAGACACATCTTCATTGGACAAATGTATAGCCTGAAGACGCTTTTCTGCATCTTCTTTTTCAAATTGAACCAATTCCGATTTCATTTTATGTTCCTTTAAATTTTATATTAATTTAAATTTAAAATAAAAGTTAAATAATATTACCTGCAAAATATCCTCATCTGGAATGTCTAGTGAGCTGACACTTTGAGAACGACTGCTTACCGAACCGCCTCGTATTAGTTTACCTTCCGCAATGGCTTTTTCCACATCGCTTTTATCATACCCTTTGCAAACTACCAAATGTATGTAATTACCTCCGGATCTTAATGTATGTACTGCTTCTTGATGTGTGGCACCCAAAAGCGATTTTCCATTTACTTCTAGTAATCTCATACCAGTTTTCAGACGGCCGTCTCTTTTTGCCGCTCCCACAGAATTAATTTTTGAGACAAAAACTCCTTCATCTGATTGATCTAAAGGATTGCCACGTTGTCCTTGAAGGCCGCCTTTAATATGAATTCCCAATTTTTCATTTTCATTTTTTTCAATCAGCAGTTCCTAAAGATATGTAGTTAGTTTTTTATTTATAAAAATAAAAGTAGTAGAAAATGCCGTAAACCAAAAATCGCAAAATTGTTGGTTACGGCGTTTTCATTAAGCACGGCAGTACAGGCAAATTTAAAATTTAAAAGTTCGAAGTAAATTTTTTTTAATGAACTTGTGCAATGTTTATACATAACATAAACATTGATTGTCTTTACAAAAAAACATGGCAACGAAGGTTACGAAAATAGAATATTGTTCAACGATAAAAAAGTTGGGCATATACTTTTTCTATTTAGTACAATTACCTCAAAAACATATTCGATGACAAATGTCAGTGTCAATTAATTTTTCAGAAAACAATGAAGCACCGTATAATGGTCATAGCAATGATAAATACTACCTTGGAAAAAAATCTCTTAGTTTTTTAAAGTGTTACAAGGGAATATTTCGTAAACGGTTAAAAATTTTTTTGTGAAATTTTGATATAAAGGGTGTTTTTTAGAGGTATAAAACATTTTTTTTAACAAAAACGAATTTAATGACCAATATTTTGGCTTTATTAGTTCAAAAATTTTATGGCATTTAGTGCTTGAAAACAATTTCGGGCATATGGTCACCACGACTGCATCTTATAAAGGCCATCCTATCGGTCCAATTTTGCACCAGTTTTTCCAACATCGCCGGCCTTATTTCGTCAATAACGTTTCGAATATTGGCTTCCAAGTCTTTAACTGTAGCTGGCTTATTAGCATAGACCAGTGATTTGACATACCCCCACAAAAAGTAGTCCAAAGGATGGCGGCCAATGGGCAGGTCTATTTCTTGAGATGATTCGTTCACCAAAAATCAGTCCCAATAAAGTGATGGTTTCACGCGCTATATGGCAGGTTGCGCCGTCTTGCTGGAACCACTTATCTCTCAGACGATTAGTATTGACATGGGGAAGGAACCAAAAAATCGCGAAACATTTGCCTGTAGCGCGTACCATTGACGGTAATGTTGTCTCCGCCTTCAGATTTGAAAAAATATGGGCCAATTATGCCTCCGGCATGTAATCCGCACCAAACAGTGACTTTTTCGGCATGTAATGAGGTCTAGAGAGTCTCGTGGGGATTGTCCTCACTTCAAAAACAGCAATTTTGTTAACATATCCATTAAGCCAAAAATGAGCCTCATCGCTGAAAATGATTTGAAGGTAAAAATCTGGTTTAACTTCCAGTTGATTTTCAGCCCATTCCCCAAACGTACGCCGCAAACGATGGTCCATTGGTTTTAATTCCTGCACCAGTTTGATCTTATAAGGGTGTAATCCAAGATCTTTTCTCAAAATCTTCCACGTAATCGACGGGCAGAGGCCGAGTTGTTGAGAACGGCGTCGAATTGACAAATTTGGGTCCCCGACCACACTCACCTCTACAGCGGCAATAGCTTCTTCGGTACACACAGTATGAGATCGTGTTGGGTAAATATTATTTATAAGAGAATTCGTAGACATAAATCGATCCATAGTATTGCGTATAAGCTGCTCAGATGGACGATTATGCGCACCGTAAATTGAGCGAAGTGCCCTATAAGTTTGGCACACCGAACGCATATTTTGGAAATAAATTTTTACGATTTGTAAACGTTGTTCAGGTGTAAGTCTTTGCATGGTAATTTGCCAAAGTTTACTAAACAAAATGTCAAAGACGACAGGTGACCATTCTGACGGATGGTTTGACAAAAATTTCTGTCGAAAGTTCTATACTATCTAAAAAAACACCCTTTACTAATAGACATATTTAAACATATTTTTGACACCTACCTAATTTCCCTATTTTAATAGGAATGATGAACTCGAAAAAAATTGATTATACGAAAAAACTAGGTATGTGAGCAAAAAAATTTTTGATTTGCGATTTTGGTTACTGAATTATGATTTATAGATTATACGATACTAAAAAATATTAACAATTTATCTACTAATTTATCGTCTGTCATGTCTGAGAAATTCTTTAAAATGTCCCCCTTTAACTTCCAAATACTTTCTCACTCTTTTTCTAAATGATTTTGTGCACTTGATAAATAAATTAAAATTATGTTTTAGTATTTTATAATTTAATAAATCATAATTTCGTAAGAGAGCAAAACATCTTTTTTGCAAACCTATCCAGTTTTTTAAATAAATTCGGTTTTTTTAAGTACATCATTCCTATTAAAAATCCAATCCTCTCAAAGGAAAGGGAGTAGATTTAAAAAATATGTTTATATATGTCTACTAGTAGTAGCTAGTTTACCAAAATTTCACAAATTTGCCAAATTTAAAAATATTTTTTTAGGTAATAGTGTAATCGAATGAGAGCAAAAAAGCAGCAGCCAATACCGAAAGATATCGCCTAGGTTAAACGTAGGAGCTTAAAAAATTGCTAGGATCCGATAGAACATTGTTGTTTTAAAAATATTTTGGCCGACTTTGTTTACTAACCTTTCAAACCAATTTTCACTGGGATAACCTGTATGTACTATCAACTTTTAAACTAAGCTAAGTTTGGTCAAATCGTAATGCAAGGAATCTGCAGTTTTACTGTGTACCATTAGTTATGGTATATGTGTATTAGAGTGTCCGTTATTTACCAACTTGGATTTTTTGTTCGCAGCGTCCCCTAAATTTTTAGTTTATGACCTAAATGACTTAAATAACATGGGGTTTCGGCAAGTTCTACATTTAATTTTTTTTCTCCCGAGCAAGTTAATATACTGCAATAAGTGATAAATTTTTTTATGGAAAATTGAACGCTGTACAAAAAAGCTTTCCTATGATTTTTTCATAAATTCACTGATTTAAAAGTTATTTAAGGTTAAAGTTAAACTTTTTTTACTTTGGACTGCAAAATTATAATTATTTTTATGAAAATGAATTGTTTATTTTTGAAAATATGTTATTTTATTGTATTTTTGAAAAAATAAAAGTTATTGAAAAGAGATTTATCTCTTTTCAATAATATTTATTTTTTTATAAGTAAAACTTATTAACAAGAGATTTCAATAAATTCAATTTTTTTTATTAGGTAGGTACATTAAACGAATCTGGTACTAGTTTTACTCAATTTTAGTACGATTACTTTTTTACATAATCTGTTTATTTCTGTGAAATTCTAAAAAATCTTATACGATTTTATAAAATATTAAACAATAAAAAGTTTTCCTTCATTACAGCTAATGACGTAGAAATTCTTTTAACAATTATTTTTACGACAAAATAAAATTCGTAGTTACGCATACGTTGTCTTGAGTATGAGATGCAGACATTTCCGCTACACCAATTATCCTTTTCAAATAAGCTTTATTATATATTAGAAAAAAGTGAGGTTAATTCCGTTGACATATGACAGATATCAAATGTTTAACAATTATAATTGGCTTTAAATTCTTCTTTCAAAGAAGTTTTTTGTGTTCGTCGTAGATAATATGCAACTCGCTTTATAAACTTACCTAGACACTCGTTTTTAATAAGCTTCGCTACCTAATAAAACTTGTAACTAAAATGGCGTTTATAAAACTTAATACATAATAACTATACTATTATATAAAAGATGCTACAGATGATGGGTGATTGACCTACTTTAAACTTTAACTTTGCGACACGAAATCTGTGAAGTGAGACTTCTGCCTTCTGTGGTCAAAGTACTAAATGTGCGCGTGCGTAACTAAAAATTTTATTTTTTCAAAAAATAATTGTTAAAAGAATTTCTACGTCATTAGCTACACCTGAAATTTTTCATTGTGATAATATTTTATAAAATCGTATAAAATTTTGTAAAATTTCACAGAAATAATAAGATTATGTAAAAAAAGTAATCGTTCTAAATTTGAGTAAAACTAGTACCAGATTCTTTTAATGTAATAACCAATTTTTATCCACGACTACCTTATAATATATTCTTTATAAATGAGTTTTCTAAAGCAAAATGATAGTCATATTTCACAGAGTGAATAATAGCAGTGAATAATCATTATTCACTGGTCTAGAGTTCCTATAGGACACACGATATAGATTGTTTCTGGCAAGCACTTATCAGTTCGTCTAGGCAATTATAGCCAGGCACTTTAATTATCTAACTTTATATCAATCATAAAAGTCTTGTTAAAGTATTACTATTAATATGTTTTTTAATGCAATTGAATAAAAATTTAACATTAAGTAGACTATTTCAAGTAAGTAAGCCATTGACATGACATGACAAGCTTAGCAAAAATTGCTGTCAATTTGAAACGTCATAAGTTCGATCCAGCACACGATTTTTGTTACAAATTATTATTCAGCTTAAATTATACATAAAAAATCATAGCGTGAAAGATGAAGAGATGTTACGCACTCAACAAAACATCACAGAAGTCACTTTTCGAAATACGAATTACCTAAAAAATCACATTCATTGGAAATAAAATACTGCATAATCTATAAATAATAGAATTATCAAGTAGGAAGCCATGTAATCAACTGACAACTAATAATTATTTGAAACGTCAAATTTTAACGACGCGGTGGTGCAATAATAATTCCTGTTAAAATTATAATTTGCTTTCAAAAATACGTTAACAATGGAAATTGATAGTGAGGAAGAGATATTGTGTACTCCACCGGAGATAACAGAAGCTGCAAAAGTCACTTCCCTGAATTTGTTGCCTGAGAAATCCCGAAATTTGTACGTATCTGTATACAACACCTTTATGGACTGGAGAGCGACCAAGAAAATTAATTCATTCTCAGAGTCAGTTTTACTGGTATATTTTATATATATATATATATTACAATTAATATAGGGTGAAGTGGGGTAAATGTAATCTTGGGGCAAGTGTAATCAGGCACCCTGTATTTTTTCTCATGAAATTTTTGGCATTTTTTTATTTAAAACTCAAAAATATAACCCTTCTTTTACTCATTTTTGGATTTTTTACCTTTTTTGGGGATCTGGCTGCAAAATCAAAATTTTTTTTAAGTTAACTTTTATTTAGACTTGTCTTATGAGTGT